ACACCATGGCGAGAAGTCGAAACAGGTGCATGTGGAACAGTAACTATGCAGCAGGAAGGAGGCTTTTTTGGTCGTGCTGCAGTTTGCATTGGCCAAGTTGCAAGACATGCGAGGAGTTGCACCCACTAAAAGCGCATGAGTTTAGCAAGACCTTTGCGCTAACAAAATGGGGCTTTTTTTTGGTCTCATTGTTTGGCGTCAAATGGAGTAGGATGTTGTTGGCTTGTAAGCATGCAAGCTCACATCATGTAGCATCGTAGCTGGATGAGCAAGCTTGTACACTCTGCGTATTTGACGTGCTGAAACTTGAATTAATTGCAAACAAAAGATTTGCTTCTGTGCGTCAAAGTTTTGGTCTGTTGGCAATCGCGCTGTCTGTGCGTCAAGCTGAGACTATCAAGGCAGACGTGAATCGGCTGACTGTGGCGTCCAACCCTGGAGTTGTACTTCCAAGGGGCGGGAAGGCACACGCCGCAGGAAAGAAACTGCGTGTGGACTGCTTGAAGGAAGCTATTGCCGAATTCCCAAACTTGATTCGAAGTGTGGAAGGGCAAGTCCGACAAGGAGTACTGCTGGATCGGTTTGAGCGTCGGTGCCTTGATGTCGATGGTTGGGAAAGGACTGGGTCGAAATTGTAGGGAACTTTTGGTGTACTTTTGATCAATGGCTTGCTTGGCAGGACTCTGAAAGGTGTTGCGCAAGAGGTTCCGATATCCGATGTGTTCGGCAGCTGGAAGTCATGGCCGTGGCGCCCCGAGAGTGAAAAATGGATTGACCCGGAGGAGGACATCCAGAAGCTGGAAAATGGACGACCTTGGCCTGTTGTATGTCACCTTGACATGAGCAAGTTACGGCAGTATCATGAAACCCAAACAGACAGGCGTAGTGAGCAGCTTGGAAATTTCCTCGATGTGGTTGCCAAAGGGGCCGAGAATGTTTCGGATGGTGTGGCAGCCGTTGCGTTCAGGGGGCATCAAAAAACTGTTGCGGGTGGATCCATTGGGCGCGTTTGCTTTCCTTGGCTGAGCCCGCCACACCTGACACGCGAGGCTCGCGCAGCTGCCGCACCAGCAGGATCATGTGAGTTTGATATGCCGAATGCAGTTGTGTTCTTCGCAAGAGAGATTGCGGATGAATTGGGCTTGACCTTGTCTGCCTTCCAGTTGTACGCGACCTACAAGGACATGTGGCGTCAGGCAGTAATGCAGTGGCTGGGCATGTCGATGCACGACGCCAAGAAAACCTTGCTGCGGGCAGTGTTCGGTTTCGCATCTGTGTCCATGGTAGGGGGCAAGGCAAGATCGTGTCCTTTGTTGGACGGCTTGGCTTCGGATGGCAAAGTTTTGAAAGAGGCCATTGCGCTTGCTCACCCGGACCTTGTCGCGGGTTTAAGGGCTGCTGGCAAAAGCAGGCCAGAGACCTCTGCCATGGCCTACATGTTGTTTGACCGCGAAAACACACGAATCCAGGAGTTTGCGGGTCTGCTTCCCAAGTATGGCTTCAAGATGGTCACTCCTGTGTATGATGCCATTGTAGCGGCACCTACAAGTGAGGGTGACATTGACGTTGTCAAAGCTGAGCAGGACATCCTGGATGATTTTCAGGTCAGAAGCGGCATGCGCATGCAAGTGTCAATTGTACACACGCCTGGGAAAGTAGGCTGCGTGGCCCACATAGTGCAGAAGCTATTGTCCGAGAACTGTGGCATGAGAACAGAATCCATTCTGACATTGCCAGGCTCTGGCATGTGCATTCCAGTTGCTGTGATGAATCTTTTCCCATCAGTAGAGGAAGATGTGAAGGAATCTTTTCAGGGCGCGTCCGGTCCTTTCTCCTACCGGGAGGTCTTGGAAAGATGCGGCGCCGTGACTATAGATCCAGTGCAATTGGAGGATGGTTTCC